GTTTTCTTTTCTTTCTTTCTTTCTATATATATATATATATATACTTTGAAAAGCTTTTATTTTGAGAAGCCAGTATTGTACAAAATTTGCCGTATCCTTCCTTCTAAGGAATGAAACGTTCTCAAATAAAATAAATCCAATAAAACAACAATATTGTACCATAAAAAAAAACAGGAAAAAGAAAATTTGATACTCGCTGAAGCAGAAGAAATAGCAGTTAAGTAGAGAAGCACATCCTATTTATTAAATAATTGCTTATCACAAAATAAAGAATAACCAATATATTTCCAGAAAATATCTCACACTGCTGTTTTTGAAAAGATATTTTGGAAAACAAATCGATTAACTAGTCCTATCAAGAAAGGCCGATTCATCGATTTTCGAAAAATAGCTTCATCGGAATTTTAAAACAAACTATCGAAACACGTTTTTAATTACAAGGGCCTGATAAGTACTGTTTTTTTTTGCAATCTCTCTCCTCCGATATAAGAGAAATATTTGGTATGCAAGTGAGTAAGAAATTTTAATTATACGTCAATCGATTTTCATCAAAACAACTCTTAACGTATCTAAACAAAAGTCATTACAGACTATGAATATATTTTTTTTTGTGTGCATATTTTACTTGGATAAAAATTTATTCATGCAAGTTTGTGCATTGATTATTTATCTTGGAGAAAATTGTTGGATTGTGTTCAGTGTACGAGGTTTCATTATTTCACCCCCACCAGATCAGTGTTTTAATGGATTAAACTTTGCATTTTTTGTTGGCAGAGTTTTTTAATCATGTTTTACGGCCTAGAGAGTAATTCACTTTTAAAGTTTTATTTTCGAAGAAGACTAGCGTTCAAAGTTTTTATTGTTTTTTTCTTAATATAATTACTGAATAAACCTGATATAATTTGAATAAACCATTACTTTATACGTATATATAATATATTGTATGCATAATATATTTTGAATACTTGGTATATTTTGATTCCCCCATATTCTTCAAATGTTTGAAATAAT